TTGTTTATCCAGACATTATATCCACATAAGAAAATAATAAGAACACAAAGAGGATTGCTCATACCTTCTGCTTTCCGTAACATATTAGCTACTATAGCTTCATCTTCTACAGGGTGAAATGAACAGGTAGAGTAGACTAATCTACCACCAACAGCTAGTAATTCAACACCACGTTTTAAAATCTTCTTCTGTAAACTACAAATTACATAGAAGAGATTATATTTCAGCACCTTATAGGGCTGTTGACAAATGAGAAAACCTTTACCAGGACAGTATAATGGAAAATAAAAGTGAAGTTATTCTATTTCCAGATCTCTTCAATATATCTTATGTGGATACTAAAGTTTATTAATATTAGATCTGAGTTCACGAGCCAATATAATGGGACAATATTGCTGATGGATCAATTTTCGTAGATTTACCCATGAAAGTGATGCTAAGTTATTTAAGGGCTAAGTTATTTAAGGGCTATTAATACACAATGGTTTTGATAATAATGACACAAATACATAATTTAAAGAAAAAACTTTTGAAATACAAGAGATATGTATATGAATTTACAGGTAAGTTTATGTCATCAGAGGACATACCTATGAAATTTTGTGTCCACGAATATAAATGGTTTCACAACAATCCTCACAATAATATAGGATAATAACAATAAACACATACCCATGAAGACTACAAGCATGTGTTGGATTCCATCTCTTCCATAAATCAGGGTTTTTTCTTAATGTTCCGTCTCCACTATAAATAACATAATTTAATAACATAACCAAAGAATACACAAAAATAAAATAACACAGTTTATATTGTACAATAATATAATAGAAAATATTTTCACTGCTGAGTAATATAGTTTTTGTTGCATAGTACTAATGCAAAAACATAATGTGGAAAAAATAAGGAGGTAGAATTTTCTTGTAGTTTTATGGATAATTACTTAGATTAGTTTTATGGATTTATAGGATTATACAGGGATTCTGTTGTATAGTAACTACACTGGGTAGGTAAACTGATAGAAATATACTCATATTGGCCAAGTTATGGAATTGTGTTCCTTTAAAAACTACCCACCTGCAAGGTACATCAGCTAGTATTCTATCAAACTGATAAAACTGTAAATGTTGTTCATCTGTATTAGATCTTAGTTTAGGTAATATAGAAGCATCATGATTTATTATCATACAGCATGGTGTCTGTAGTCTTTTTATCTGATGTACCATCATATAGCATCTTTTATTATCAGCATCATTAGCAATTATAAACCCATCTAAATATAAATTATAACATCTTTTATTATCAGCATCATTAGCTATTATAAACCCATCTAAATATAAATATATAGCATCTTTCATTATCAGCATCATTAGCAATTTTAAACCCATCTAAATATAAATATATAACATCTTTTATTATCAGTATCATTAGCAATTATAAACCCATCTAAATATAAATATATAGCATCTGTTATTATCAGTATCATTAGCTATTATAAACCCATCTAAATATAAATATATAACATCTTTTATTATCAGTATCATTAGCTATTATAAACCCATCTAAATATAAATATATAACATCTTTTATTATCAGCATCATTAGCAATTATAAACCCATCTAAATATAAATATATAACATCTTTTATTATCAGCATCATTAGCAATTTTAAACCCATCTAAATATAAATATATAACATCTTTTATTATCAGTATCATTAGCAATTTTAAACCCATCTAAATATAAATATATAACATCTTTTATTATCAGCATCATTTGCAATTTTAAACCCATCTAAATATAAATATATAACATCTTTTATTATCAGTATCATTAGCAATTATAAACCCATCTAAATATAAATATATAAACAATTATGGTCGTCTTAATGTGATATGGGATATTTCATTTGTTAATGACAAGTAATAGTGTTATCTAGCTGAATGTTTCACCCCAAAAAATCTATCAGATCTCAAATGTAAGGCAAATTTTGTTTAGAAAATTAGTTTTATTACATAATACGCACATTGACACATCTATCCAATATTTGAACTTATATTGGCAATTTGTTGGTCAACTTTCCTGACCTGTATCCATCAAAATAGGAAGACCAATTATAAAAATCCAGGGGACATAAATATAGTATAAAGATAGGCTGTCCTTGATTATTCAAGGAAATGAATAATAAACCATCATGAGATTCAATAGAAGAAATATATAGGTATATTACCTGGAACTTCCTGATTTTCATCAGAATGTAATAATTCTATCAACTGAGCTGTTTTAGATCCTGGTGCAGCACACATATCTAACACCTTAAAACAGAAGAAAAAGGTTATAAAAGTACTCTTATTCCAAGCATTTTTCCCTTGTTATGTACCCTTCAAGAGACGTCTGAATAACTTGCTGGTACCACTTGTAGTGTCTACTGGAAGTCCTGCAGGATACTATTACTATCAGTT